CCCCAAAACCCCAAAACCCCATTAAGCTAACAATAATTTTTTAGAACTATTATTGAATTAAAATATAAAGAATATCTTATTCATTATTATTAATTTGATGTTTTAGTACCAAAGTTGTACCTTAATTGCAAATTACTGGTTGAAAGATGATGATTTTCTGTTATATTCTTTTTTTTGTTAAAAAAATTTCTATATCTTTCACTCTATTGAGAATTTTCCAAAATGTTAAGACTACTTTAATTTGAAGTATCTTGTCTTCTTTTAAGTTTTTTTATGCACTCACTGAGAGAAGATTTGCTAATTTTAACATTTTAAACTCCAAAATTTAAATTCTAATCTAGAATGAGTTCCTATTCAGTAATTTCAATTACAGATTGTGAAAGACTATTTTTTGAATCATTTAAAGGACTATTTCCACGATAATTCTCAGGTAATAAATTATTTTTACCATCTTATGATTTAAAATCATCAACTTTATTGCCTAAATCAATGACTTAATTTATCCCAGAGCTTTCAAAAATATTATTGCTAATTACATTATCGTTTTCCTGATGATGTTCAGAATCCAAATAATTTCTTTAGCCATCTTGGTAAAATTTGTCATTCCGTTAGAAATCTAAATTTAGGAACTTATCACTTGTTGAGCCTAAATCAAATTTAAAGATACTCTCGTTTATCCTTGAGCATATTGATGAAGGTAAGCTGCCTTAAATAATTTTTGATTATCCTGTAGAAATATTCTTATCTTTTAATACATAGTCTGTTTACTTAAATTTCCGCGGCTAATTATCAGTTAATTTAGTGTTTGGGACAAAATATTAAGTCTTTCAAAGAAAATTATAGGAACTTAGATTCTATTCCTCAATTTCATAGTGAGACTCATCTCCCCTACTTATTCCGTTTATTCTTTTTCCAAGAAGTGACCTATTGTTGCAGCTTTTGTTTTTTCTATTTCTATTTAATTTATGAATTGAGCTACTTTCATCTTCATCACTTTAATTGTAAAGTTCATTGTTTTGCTGCAAAAGTAAAGTAATATCCTCTTACTCATCTTCATTACTTTTCTAATTATTATTAGTATTGAAATTTAAGGTATTAATTCTCTTTGGCCAAGTTTAGTTATTAAATATTGTTGAGTTATTCTATAGATATTACTGCTTATTTCTCTTTCTTCTAAGCTTATTTTTTCTCCTTTTTTCTTTAAGAAGCCTTTCTCTAGCTTCCTCTTCTTCAATGCAATTTTTGCAATACCAATTATCTTCTGGAATAGAATCAAGGTTGCAGCAGTAAGTGTGACAAACATTATAATTGCATGAATCACACACAAGTAAAAGCTACTCATTATCAGCTTGGGAACATTCGTAACAAAAATCAGCAAATTAAATAGCCAAGTCATGAAGTTCTTCAAAGGCATCTAGTCTCTTTTAAACTTTAATGATCTCTTATATTTTGCCTTCATTATCTATCAATTGAAGCTCTGTAATTTCAATCTTGCATAAAGGGCAAAGATTGGATAATTTTGTCCAAGCCAAAATGCATTAAGAACAATACTCATGCAGGCAATTGTTAGGTTTCGCCTTCTCTTGCATATAATCTAAGCATACAACACATCAATTGTCATAAATATCTTCTTCATCTAAGAAAAATATTATTAAGCTTTAGATTAATAAATTAACTTAATCTATTTAATTACTTACTCAATAGCTTTGATTGATTTCTAAGTATTCGTCTAATGCGGCCTTAATCTGTTTTATCAAAAGTGCACTACTTAATGCTAGGAGACGTCTTTTAAAGCTACTTGCTTGATCTCAATATTCCTAAAAATTCATTAAAAGTTAATTTACTTTTATTGCTATTTTAGTCAGGAGATGATTGAAATGATATAAAATCATCAAAGTTGAGTTTATTATTGTCATTTTAAAACAATTCTTTAGTTTCTTCAAATCTCTACTGATAATGAGGGGGATTTTTATTATCTGGAGCATTTTCAATTACCAGATCTGATTGTTAAGATGCCTGTGAAGTTGAGTCAAGGATGCTTATGCAAAGTGGACTATTCTTTGCTGACATTTCGACTTATTTATTATTTTAATACATTTTGTGGTATGTTGCGATTATTTTGTTGATTCCAAATTTTTTATCAGTCTAAATATTATTAATAGATCTATAAAAAGGCGCACTCTAAATAATTATGTAAAATCTTTTTGTATTAAATTTTTATTAGATTTTTAATATATTTACATTTACCCGTTTTAGTTTTTATATTTTTCCTACGGGGTTTTGGGGTTTTGGGG